TGTTATTGCTCAAGAAGTAAATCCAAAACCTCGAGATGACAATGTTAAACAACTCCCTGTTCCAGAAAAACAAACTCAATAACCTCAAGAACCAGTGCCATTAAGGAGATCCACGAGAGAAAGGAGAAATGCTATTTCGGATAATTATATTGTATTTCTCTAAGAACATGAGGAAAGTAATGGAATGTTGGAAGATGATCCAATCAACTTCTCTCAGTCCATGAAAAGTTCTAACTCTCAACAGTGGATTAATGCCATGAATGAAGAGTACAAGTCTATGCAAGATAATAAGGTTTGGGAACTTGTCCCATTGCCAGAATGTGCAAAACCAATTGGTTGTAAATAGATTTTTAAAACCAAACTGGATGCAAACGGTAATGTGAGGAGGTATAAGGCACGTCTTGTAGCTAAAGGCTTTATTCAAAAGGAATGCATTGATTATACAGAGACTTTCTCTCCGGTTTCATCGAAATACTCCTTCAGAACAATCATGGCACTTGTTGCTTATTATGATCTTGAGTTACATCAGATGGATGTTAAGACTGTATTTCTCAATGGCGACATTGATGAGATGATTTATATGATGCAACCAGAAAACTTTGTGTCAGGAGATCCAAAGAATATGGTTTGTAAATTAAGAAAATCCATCTATGGACTCAAGCAAGCTCCTCGTAAATGGTATTACAAGTTTCAACAAATAATTATCTCGTTCGGTTTTGAGATGAATATTGTTGATGACTGTGTATATCACAAGTTCAGTGGGAGTAAGTTTATTTTTTTGGTTCTGTATGTTGATGACATATTGCTTGTCACTAATGATATAGGCATGTTGCACGAAACCAAGAGATTTCTATCAAAGAATTTTAAGATGAAAGATCTTGGGGACGCCTCTTTTATATTAGGAATCCAGATACATCGAGATCGTTCTCGAGGTATATTTGGATTATCACAAAAGAGCTATATCGATAAAGTACGTAAAAGGTTTGGCATGCAAGACTGCAGACTAGGAGACACCCCTGTTGCTAAAGGAGACAAGTTCAGTCTCAATCAGTGTCCTAAAAGCAACCTTGAAATTCAAGAAATACAGAAGATTACTTATGCTTCGGCTGTAGGAAGTCTAATGTATGCTCAGGTATGTACACGTCCTGATATTACGGACATTATTGGGATGTTAGGCAGATACTTAAGCAACCCTGGTATGGATCATTGGATAGCAGTCAAAAGGGTTATGAGGTATCTTCAGAAAACAAAAGATTATATGCTCACGTACAAAAAATCAGAACAATTGGAGGTCATTGGGTATTCGGACTCTGATTTTGTTGGATGCCAAGATAGCAGAAAGTTTACATCAGGCTACATTTATATGTTAGCAGGGGGAGCTATATCATGGAAAAGTGTTAAACAGACACTCGTAGCTTCCTTCACTATGGCAGCAGAATTTATAGCTTGCTATGAGTCATCTAATCAGGGAATATGGCTGTGAAATTTTGTCATGGGACTGTGCATTCTAAAAAATATGGAAATACCACTAAGGTTATATTGTGACAATAAATCTGTAGTAATGTATTCCAATAACAACAGGAGCTCAACTAAGTCAAAACTGTGACGCCCCTGTTTTCACTCATAACTGCAGTCCAAGGTAAACTCAGAGATGTCAAACCTGCCATGCACCCATACTGTGCAACAACAAGTTTCACCAATCACGGTATTATCCTCTAGTGAGGTAAAATAAAAGCGTAGGTACAAAACAGGCAAAGAAGTAGAACGACAATAATAAACATGATAAAGAGGATGATATCTCATAAATAAGGTCATGTCTCAACTGAAAATAAACTGAAATACATTTAGAGTCTGTAATAACATACGATGTCTCAACATGAATCAAAACGAAAATTCAAACTAAGGCTCATTGCCTTTACAAAATGGAAATAAACTCTGAATAAAATTTAAAACTACAGTGGAGCCTCTAATAAATCTCTCGGGACGGCGACTATGCAAGAACTCCGTCATCCTGCGGCTCTCCGGAACTCCGAGCTACCTGAAAGGGTATTTTTAAAAGAAAAAGAAACAACAACAAGAGCGTCAGAGCGTTACAGCAAGATTACCTCCATCCGCACCTAGGGAAAGGGCTACTAGGTGGAGTGAAGGCTCTATCTATTAAGCATAGTCTACCTAGATTTATTTTCCCCGTATCTAAGTAGGATTAACATTTAGAAACCTACAACACGAGACGTAGTACGTCAAGCGAAATAATCTAAACAAGGAAACCCTCGTGTATATACCATAAATCTCAAATTGTAGATATCTAATATTAATACTGAACTAAGAAAAGACAATCTAATGAAACTAACAATTAGAAATCCATAACACGAGACTGGTACGTCGAGCGAAATAATCCAAACAAGGAAACCCTCATGTATATACCATAAGTCTCAAATTGTGAATCTCTAATCATTGATCCCAACTAAGAAGTAAAAAGGACAGTAAAAGAAATAAGATATCAACACATCGTATTTATAATATCTTCCACAATCACTGGAGAGATAGAATAAAATACCAACACATAATTTTGTATACTTTCAGAAGTAACGTATCTCAGTTATATAGTTCACTGATAGGTCGTATTTATAATCGGCATCTGTCATACTTAGGCTATTAAGTAACTGTCTCAGTACAATGGACTACCCTGTTGTTCGCGGGGAAAATCGTAGGTTTCTTTGTTATTGATTCCATTGTCATCTTGAGTTACAACTTTTTTTTTTTGAGTTACAAAAGTCCGGTCTTTTTATACAGACCGGTTACCATACGAACCATAAAATAAAATAAAGCAAAGATTACAACTTATCTCCTTTATGGTCGATCGAATCGCGAGCTCCTGTTTGCGGTCGCCTCGCTGTGTTTTGGCCTGCCGCCGGGGTTATTTGCCGGTGGACGGCGGCACCGCCGAGATCTAGGATCCGTCGATCTACGCAGTACACGGGTATTATTTAGCACAAAGGAAATAAAGCCGGGATGATTGTTTCACCAACGGAAACAATCGCCCAAGTCTGCGGGGATCTAAGACGCAACTTAGATTTCCGGAGTATCGCTGCGTAGATCTGAATCTGATCCTCTCGAAGCACGCTGCCTTATTTGACGTTGATGATCGCCGAGCACCAGATCTGAAGAGTGAGTCCCGCCCGATCCCAAAGTTTCAATCTTTTTTAAGTTCGCGATCTCCAATCCAGCAGGGCGTTCGCCTCTCTCACGGATAAAATTTCCAACCCTTTCTCAATGAACAAGGGGGGTGGCCTATTTATAGGCTACCCTCACTGCCTGGGCAACAGTGTGCCGGCCACAGGTGGCTCGGCGGCCACCGAGCCACAATAGTCCTGCGGCCGGCACCTGGGATCGCCGGCACCTTGTGCT